TGGTTACATTCTGAAAGCAGACATAGCTGAAGGTCGCCCCCAGGAAATTTTGGATTAAGTAGATGTGATTTCCTGCATTCTAGTGGATTTTGGGTGGTCTGCTAAAGATCCCTTTTTTGGTTTGACTGGTTTGTAAAGCATGTAAATGTAAATATAGAATAAACATTCTGGACACACACGCACGCACATACGCACATGGACACCGATTCAAATGTGAATGTAAATGAAACTCTGATATTACCTGGGCAACTTCAGCAGACCCGGTGTGCAAGCAAGATGGAGTGACAGCGGGGACGGCCAATCACACAAGAAACGGCAGAGCCAATCAAGGAGCTTGTGGGCGGGGCTAAACTAAGGGAGACAGGCTTCAGCTTGAGCGGCCGTTTTCCGCTTGTCCTAGTGCTTGACGAGTCTCTGTTTACTATAGCATAACATTGTTTTTGGACGGTAAAAACTGCAGGGGACCAAAACGGCCCAAGATCGGATTTTTTTTTGCGTGAGAAATTGGATGTGTGGCGTGAGTGCGTGTGGAAACAGGCAAAATCGTGTGTCACAAGGCGAAAGCGCGAGAGTTGGCAAACATTCAGCTTTAAAGTGTTTGCTTGTTAGCCATATCGGAGGGCCGATATTATCGGACATCCCTAGTTTTTAATTAAATAGGGTGCAGAAAATGTCGAAACTTTCTAAGTCTTCGGCCTGTGGAGATATTAAAAGACGGTCACACAGGGCCAACGCCATGATGGCAAGGTCAAGATGAAGCTGACGAGCCCGAGCAGCAACAAGCTAACGACATAGCTCCAGATATCAGTAACATTTACTTAACAAAACAAAGATTTCTGAAGATCTGGGGGGGCTGGCAGAAATACGTCGTACCACCACGTCGGTAGAAACTAAACTCTCTAGCCTAATTACAAGAATGGACGACATGGAGAACCGAGTGGAGTACTTGGAAAGAGCGAGCAGGAGTGGCAAGCTAACCGCCAGCTAGCAAGACAGATGTCGGACAGATATGGACAATTAGAAGACATGGAGAATCGCTCAAGACGCAACAACGTACGCTTCGTCGCTTTCCGGGAGCAAAGACGAAGGAAACGTGGTGAGATTTCTGGAGGAGCTGTTGCCAAATTGCTGAACATAGAGGGAAGACGAGAGATTGAACGGGCACAGCGACCCCACCAGGAAAGACCAAGACCCAAATATTGTCCATCTCCAGTAGGCTGCCCTATCAGCGGCTTTGGGCCTCCACCACCACCAGAATGGTACAACATGGGTACAACATGGGTACAACATCAAATGAATTCCAATTCTCTGATATCTGAGCCACCAACTTGTGTGGCTGCGTGCGCAGCATCATTTTGGTCACCCCCAACAAAATCTCACTCCAAGGTTTTTGAAAAGTTGGCAGGTATGCATAATGTGTTAATTCCACAATAGGAGATATGTTATGTTGTTACCTAACAGTTTTGGTGTAAAAAGCCTCCATATATTGGTATCGGGTGATATCGGTATCAGAAATTGAGAGTTGGACAATATCGGAATATCGGATATTGGCAGAAAAGCCAATATCGAGCATCCCTATTAAAAACAAGTATGCTGGATGGTAGTATATCTGGCGTAAATGTTTAAAATGATAAAGGCAGCAATGCAGTGCGGAGCGCCCTACTCCGTGGCTTCTTCTCGCATTGTGTCACGTGACTCCTGACTTCAAGATATCTGAATGAAAATGTGTTTATGGGAACTCACCAGTCTCCCTTTTACAAACATGTGTAGGACTGGCATGAACTGGGTCTGACTGGAGAGCTAAGACCCTTGTGGATTCAATAAGCCCATTGTATTCATGTGTTATGATGTCAAGCCATTATAGTAAGACCATTTTCTAGAACTTGAAACTAGGCTGAGATTGAAAGGAAGTCATAGTGTTGCATCATCCAAAGCTGGATGGATTTGAAACTGATTCTGGCACCACTGGAAACAACCTCTTGTGGTCATCTGAATACTGTGAAACAGAGACGTCCCGAGGTAGGGGGGGCAGATCCAGACATATTTTAAGAAGGAAGAAGAAAGTACCGTAGGGGAAATTACATTTTTACACTGCTGTTGTTTTTCATTACACACACTGAGATACACACAAATAAAGACATACACTAGTTGTCAGTGCCTCCAAGCACTTTGGACAGTTAGGTAACACCTTGTGTCTAGGAGAAAGCACCTGTCCAGCAACCAATCCACACCCTGCACTGTGGTCCAGCCTTGACTTGAACAGGTGACTCTCTGGTTTCTGAGCCAAGTCCATATGGACTGAGCTACAGTCGCCCTAATGGATCAGTTTCAGCTAAAGTAAAGGCAATCACAATGCGATCTTTTCTTTACTGAGCCCGTCAGTTCTCCTCAGCCTGCTGTTACAGTAACTGCTTTTGATTCTGTGATTAACTCAGTGACAGGTCAAAATGAAACTAAAGATAGTTTGTGAGGGAACACCACTGTAGAAGCGAGAGAGAGAGTGAGGCGTCTTCTCAAGCAGATCACAACATGTCTATTTCAAGATTGGGGCCAGAAAACTTGATCGTTACACCCCTACTCTGAATACTTTGAGAGTCAGCATTAGTATCTTTAAACCATTTTTCTTGAACCATAACAAAGTAGTTTGGTTACCTAACCAGACCTGGACCACAGAGGTCGCAGATCAGATGAAATTATTTACTCTATCACTATTTTGATGGATGATTGGTAATCATGATCAAACTTGTCCACCTGCTTTATCGACGTCCCTCAGTGTGTCGTACTGGTCCAATAGCTCCGATCGTCTCTTGATGAAATGTGAAGTGTTCGACCAACACGACATCCTGTGCGGCAGGAAGTAGTTGATCAACTTCTCGCGGATCACCTTGGTCTGCCTCAGCAGCCTAATGGGGACCTGAGCAATGAGCAGTGGAAACATGGAGTCAAACCTGACAAAGTCCTCCCTCAGCGTCCTCATCTCGCTGTGGCGGCTGGCAGACGCTGGCTTGCCGTAGATGGTGAGGAAGGTGGCCTCGAACATGACGGAGTTACAGAACTCGTACATGCTGCTGCTCTTCCAGCCGTCCTCCTCCCCTGGCCTCTCAGCCAGGTGGTCCTGACGAAACACCAGCATGAGGTTACCCATCATGCTCTCTGTGAGCGCTGTGAGGTTGTCACCCTGGAGCAACTGGAAAGTGCGGATGATCTCATCGTGCAGGCCGGGTGAGTTCCTGCTCATGACGGGGGGGTAACCGAACACCAAGGGCGCCACCTTATCGGACAACTCGTGGAAGTCCAGCTGCCGGCCATGTTTGATGATGCTTGGATACATTAAAGGGTTCATGATGAAGGTCATGTATTTACCTGCAGGACAGAGGACAGCTGAGTGAGGACAAAATCTGATAACGAGACTCATTATCAAACTATTCTCAGAAAGAAAAAGGGTTTAAAAGAATGGGTGTGAATCATAGTGTCTCTGTTGTCGGTGTTGGTTTGTGTTGGTGGATTTATCATATTTATTCAGTGTGTTCGGCCTTGGTCACTCCAACTAATACTAAATAATAATAACAATAATAATTGTTTATTATATAGCACCTTTTAAAAACAGACAGTTTACAAAGTGCTTTGACAGACAAAGCAAAATGATCATTGTGATAAACAAAATCAAATTAAATATAAAACTAAAGAATATTAGAAGCCATAATAGCCAAATAAAAGGAAAATAATGAGGAGACAAACGGACAACATTACATTCAACTGGGACTGAATCAGTTAGCTAACTAAGTAACTGATCAGGCCTCCAGTTTACCCAACATGAGTTTAAATACCAACCGGCTATGTGCACGGTAAATATGTCTCCAAACTTCTTCTTCTGTTCTTCAAGAAATGAATAGGCATCTCTTCCAAACTCCAGAGCCTTCCCAATGTAAGGAATCCAACCTTTAATCAGCGGAGGCTCGTCCTCTCTTCTGCAAAAGAGAGAAAACATCATCAGTTTCAGTCCCTAAATGTTTGTTAGTGTGACACTTTGAACACATTAGTCCTGAACACCATTGTTAAAGGATCTTATCTTGGACTCTGGACTTCAGGTCCACGCCCTGCCTCTCTCTGTAACTCACTCTGTTGTTGTTCTCTCTATTATTTGAGTTGCTGCGCTCACTGTTTACTGTGGAGTTGTTCCATACAGCTGAGCAGTGCTGGGGGTGATAATGATGAGTAAAACACACACAGCTGATTATAATTACTGTAGCGGATTTACAAGTAGAAGTCAAGAAGTCTACAAATAGTTATTGCAACGTCCTCTCTTCCCACAGTTAATACTTTATTCTTTCACTTTCTTCTTAAACAAACAAAAAACTTCCTGTCTGTCCTCCATTCGCCTGACTTTCCCAAAGGAGGAATGAAAACAGTAAAACACATAATCAGACCCTCTTTATTTTTTTTAAGTTATTTTTTTTTTTACTTTTATTGACTTTATTGGATAGTGACAGCTGTAGATTGACAGGAAAGGTGGGTAGAGAGAGAGGGCATGACACGCAGCAAAGGTCCCCAGGTCGGATTCGAACCTGCGCCGCTGCAGCAACTCCGTACATGGGTCGCCAGCTCTACCAACTTCCAGTTTAGTTTTTTTCATTAAAAAATGAATAATGATAGAAGGAACTGATAAAAAACAAAAACGTTAAATATTTGATTGTTTTTTTACATTTTTTAAAATTCCCTTTTGTCACATTGATGACAGATTATCCGTCTGTTTTACTTTTGGACATGAGAGTTGGAACAGTTATTTGTCAGGTGATTTGAGCCTGTATGGAGGAGGACTGGTTCACATTGTTACGACTTCCTTCTGATGAAGCAGATAAAACACGTCTGAAGTCCTTTGATTTGCTTTCTTGTGATGGAGTTAAACTGAGTCTCCTCCTGCTTCCAGTCTCTCTGTATATACTAAAGAATGTGATTATCAGATTTCCTCCTGAGACAGGATGTCCTGCTGCCGACCCACTTTCATTACACACACACACACACACACACACACACACACATTTTTAATTCTATAAAATATCTAAACTCATTGAATAAGCCGGAACAATCAGTAATAATAAGAATGACTTGAATAAATCATCAATTATCAAAATAGTTGCAGATTAATGTTGTTTTAAACGTACAGTGTGTAATTTCTGCCACTATGGGGTCTCTTACATTAAAACATACAGCTTTTATTCTGAAAGGGACACAATGAGAGTGAACCAACAGATCAATGAGACACACCGTCAGTTATTATTAAAATATTGATCATTGAAATTGATTGATCTTTTATTATATAAATTAAAAAACATTCTTGATCAAGTAGCTTTAATAATTTTAAGTGACACTGTCTTAATTTTGTGCGTTTTATTTGTCCTGTGAAAAAAGTCAAAAGTATTTAATCAGGAATGTTTCAGTAAAAAGGTCAAAGTTGCTTCATCATAAATCTTTTTGACTTGCAAAGCTGGGTTTGTATTACTTAAAATGTTTGATGTTATACTAAAATAAATACCTTATCGCATTACTTGGACTCCCAGATTCTGCAGAAGAGGTGAGAGACCTTTCAGAAGCTTGTTTATGGATACAAAAGGATTGGTAAGTTGGGAATGAAAGTGAATGAAATGAAAGGTGGAACAAGACTCTATTTGTTCTTGAAGCCAAGGCTCTCTGATGGGAAACAAGTGAGTTGTATTTGTTTAACTTGTTTTAGAATCATGTTCTGCGGTTACAGTTGTTTCATTCATTATTTTATGAATTCGGTTTATTCTGTATGTCTCTGAAAGTTGATCTGATTTTTGTAATGAATATGAATAATAGATGGACTCATAATGCCTCTTTGTTCTCATTCACACTTATAAATAAAAGTATTACATTTGTTACATTACACATTAGTTTTCAGTTTATTCTTGTGACTCTTTGTCCTCAGCCGACCTCCCTGTTGTTGCTGATCTTCTTTCACCACCTGGGGGGGCCGAAGTCTCCAGAAACTATTAAGGGGATTATAATAATCACTTTCTTAGCCACGTGTGTAAATTAGGGTTGTTAAAAAGTGGATGAAATTGTCTTCATAGGCTTTCCTTTCTAACACTAGTCAGGGAGATGTTTGAGTAATCACTTCAGTAACGTAGTTTTCTCTTTCTGTTTCCTTATTCCTTAGTCATGCTACAGTTTGGAGGATCATCTCCCCGCATCAAGCAGGATCAACAACAGTGTTCTGTTGTTCAGTGTTACTTTAACTTTATAAAACCTGGAAAAGTTCAACACCTGGCCTTTTGAATGTGAATGTAACTCGTCGTTTCCCCCAGATCAGTAAAGTTCAAAGATCAATAAAGTTCAAAGATCAATAAAGTTCAAAGATCAATAAAGGTCAATGTGTTTCTGAAACACTAACTCCCAGCAGAACCACAGAAGCAGACGTGGGAGTCAAACTGAAAGCTCTGTGTTTATTTTACCGAGCAGCAGCTGCTTCTCTTTAAGAGCGGGAAAACCCGGCAGGACTGAAACTGACTGTCTCACAGCGGGGGCCAACCCGAGGGTCGGGACCCCTCAGTGGGTCCCCAGATGATGGACCATCAGGAAGCTCCACTGACACTGGATCTTAATTTCTGAGTGTAGTGAAGGTCTTAAAGAGCCGACAACTGTTGGTTCCATGTTTTAAGATGAGGAAGGTTTCAGTCTCCTCATCACTGCACTGTAAAACTACACTGTACATTACCACTGTAGCAGTTACACTTGTAAAATTTTACTATACACTGAATATTCGTAGCATTACACTGTACATTACACTGTAAAACTACACTATACACTACACTGTAAAACTACACTATACACTACACTGTAAAACTACACTATACACTACACTGTACATTACACTGTACACTACACTGTAAAACTACACTTTAAACTACACTGTAAACACCTCATGAGTTAGTTCAACTCAAACTGTTTCAGGATTCATTCATTTAAACATGAAACAATATTCCACTTTAGTACAAATAACTCATTTATTGTAGTTTTTCATGTCATTAAATGGCTTTCTTTCAGGATTTAGCAATAGTAACAAGTGTAATTTATAAAGGTTAAATTAGTTAAATCAACCCAATTAAATGGTGGTAAAGTGGTAAAGTGCCCTCTTTGATGCCCCTGTGGTGACCATGTGGTGCCACTGTGTATGAATAAGCAGCATTAATGTTATTTCACTCAGGTTGGTGAAATGAACAATCCAGCAGCATCAAACATAAAAGCATTAAAAAGACTTAAAGTAGAAACAGTGACGGTCAGGAAAGTGTTGGTATTTTAATCTACAGCTTCAGATTCTATAAGACTTTATCTGAAACACATTGAGCCCAGTTCCAGTGGAGGGAAACCTAGCGACTGCAACTCCCCATGAGTTATTAAATACTCCATTAACAGTATCAGAGCACATGTTGGTACTGACTGTACAGACCTCAGCTGAGGGGTGGGGGGGTGCTTCTCAACCTCATCAGTAAAGACATATTCAGAGGATAAAAAACTACTTGCTTCTTCTTCCTGCAAATGTCATTTTAATCTTTAGCATCTTGCATATGAAAGTTTAGCATTGTTGTTGTGTTATGGTTGAATGTAAGCTGAATGTACAGGAATCTTTTCTGTGTTTGTACTTGTGTTGTTTTTTATGTTTGTGCCCTGCTGGGATATCATCAAATATCATCAAATAAGTGAACTGAAAAGGTAAATGAGGGTATTAATGTTGCAATAAAATTAAAGTGAATACAGCCTGCAGGCAGCAGATAATCATTAGGCAAGAAAACTCTGCATGAACAACACTGGGATCTGCCCTTATTCTACAGGTCACTGAGCAGCGCCCTCTGTTGGTGATACATCCCGTCATACAACGGTACCGAGGTTCCAACAACCTCTAACAGAACCGGTTCCACTGACTGTATTTACTGTATATTTCATACAATCAACCCAATAATAATAATTCATATTCTTCTGTTGCTTGTCAGAGACCGGGGGGGCGGGACCCCCACTGGGGGGGCGGGAACCACACTGACCTCTCTGTCTCACGTACTACTGTCAGGATACAGTGAAAGCAAATATAACGGTTATCTTCATAAAGGTTACGTACTGCGGCTTTAAATATATGGATTTATATAAATATAAATATTAAATATATATAAATATTATGAACATATATCTCAGCATTTACATCCGTTTGAATATAAACATCCATAAACTCTGAGTCGGTTTAATAATGATAGAAACCAGGACTCACACACACACACACACACACACACACACTGATCACTGTATCTATATATTATTATATTTATAAGAGAGGAAAATGGTTGTGAAAGATTCTTAAATAAAAATATGAAACAACAAGAGAATATTTTCACCTGAAGGAGGTGATTAAATATTGATATATCAATGAATAAGTAGCATTAAAGCTCCATATCAAACAGTTCCAGCTGCTAATACTCCTGTCAGCACTGTAATCCATTACTTTCACTGTAACGGAGTACTCTGAGTAAAGAGCAGTAATCAATAGTTGCAGTAAACACCAAGAGGATCGAACTCTAATGAGTCCGGACTGAAACCCTCAGACTAAAACGCACAGTCCGGACTCAGAGAGGACCAGGACCCGGGTCGAAGCGGACTGACCTGTTCCGGCCGCGGAGGACGCAGAGGATGAGGGACAGCAGGCCGAGCAGGACCAGCAGCAGCGTGGACATGTTTGAGACTGAGTCCCACACGGTCCTCGTCCCCAGAGTCGTCCGAGTCCACACACAGAGCTTCCGGCTCCCGCCTTCAAAATAAAGCTCCTTCCAACCGGCTGCCTGTCTGTTAGAGCTGCAGTGGACCGGTGCTGTCACACATGGGGGTCAAAGGTCACCGTTTAATGTTATATAACATTCATTCATTCATTCTTCTACATGTTTGTACGGTAGCCCAGAGCGGACAAAGCAAAGCCAACCACTGAGTGTCAGTGAGGATCAGTCAGGTTCAATTTACATTGAAGAACTAATTGTTGATTGTTTGGCAGAAAATCTGTTTCATTAATCCTGTTGGCTTTAATAATGACTTTAATAATGACTTTAATAATAACTTTAATAAT